GGCGCCAGTTTCACGGCCACGCCCGGCCCCGGCCCCAGCCTGCTGCGCACGGCGGCGGCCGCCACGCCGCCGCCCGAGCCGGCCGCCGCCGCCGCCGCCGCCAAGCCTGCCAAGGGCCCCTCCAAGGCGCGGCTGCCCTCCCTCGACTCCCTCCGCTTCTTCCTCATCGCCTACATCGCTGTGGGCCACTTTGTGGCCTTTGCCACCAAGGACCCTTTCCTGCTGCGCCTGCTGACGCAAGTCAACGTGTGGGTGGGGCCCTTCTTTGTGCTCTCGGGCTACGTGGCGGGCTACACAGCCACCGAGCTGGCCAAGTACGAGGCCAGCCCACGGGTGAAGCCGGCTGGCGCCTACACAGTGGCGCGCGTGTCGGGCTACTACCCGCTCTTCGCACTCATCCAGGTGCGGCCAGGGCTGGCGGGTGTGTGGGGTGCGGGCCGGGTGGCGGTCGTGGCGCTGCCTCCAACCGCCGAGATGCGTGGCGGGCGGCGCTGGCTGCTGGCCGCTGCCTCACCCTCCCATGCATCCGCTCATGCCCAGGCATGCCAGGCATGCCTGGTGCGGCCCCGCCACCTCCCAACCCACCTGCGCCCCTCCTGCCTGTCGCGCCACAACCCTGCCCGCAGATCCTCTTTGGCGCCATGTTTGCCTTTGCTGACAACGCCTACAATGGCCCCATCGCCACCTTTGCCCACTTCCTCATGAGCGCCACGCTCACCCAGGTGCGCCCCGCCTGGCTGGCCGGCCGCAGCTGGGCCACGGCCGCACCGCACGCTGCCGCCTGGCCCCTGAGCTGCCTTCCAGGCTCTGCCCCACTCGCACCTGGCCTGCTGGCCGGACCGATACTGGCTCGATGCCCAGCAGCCAGCCCGCCGCCTGCCGCCGCCTGCCCGCGACGCAGGCCTGGTTCCCTGCCCACGCCGAGGTGTGGAACGCGCCCACCTGGTTCCTGTCGGCGCTGACGTTTGCCATGGTGGTGCTGCCGCACGTGCTGCCCGCCATCGCTGAGATGCGGCGCAAGGGGCTGAAGCTTCTGCTGGGGGTGCTGACCGCGGTCAGCCTGCTGGGCAAGCTGGCCTACAGTTACGACCTCAACGCCTGGTCCATCCTGGAGGGTGTCACCTCGGCCCGCGCCCACCCCAACCTGCTGCTGTGGAACGTCACTCGTTTCCACCCCTTCTACGCGCTGCTGGAGGTGCTGATGGGGGTGGCCGCGGTGCGGCTGGTGATGACGGAAGGGGTGGACGAGGCGGGCGCGGCGCTGGGCACGCCCCCCAAGCCCGCCGGCTCGGCCGCGCTGCCCGCGCTGGCGCTGCTGGCCATCACGCTGGCGCGCGCCGCGGGCTACCTGCCGCTCAACGACCCGCTCACCCGCGGCCTGCTCTTCGTCCCCATCTTCACACTGCTCATCATGCGCCTGCACCGCAACACGCTGCAAGGCGCGCGCGGGCTGACCGCCGCGCTGGCCCACCCGCTGCTCACCTACCTGGGAACCATCTCCTTCCCCATCTTCATAGTGCATGGAGCCATCGGGCAGCTGTTCTACAAAAAGGTGCGGCGGCGGGGAGCGGCTGCTGCGTGCGCTGGGCACATCACCCAGCAGGGCACGGCCCCGGGAGGGGCGGCGCCGCCGCAGCCGCGTGGCCGCCGCCCTGCCCTGCCCGCCCCTGCCTGCTTCCCCCTGCGCGTACCAGCAAATGCAACAACAGCCTCTGCCCTGCCTCAGCCATCTGATGCGTCGAGGCAGGGCAGGGCAGCGCAGGCCGCACAGCGCCCGCCCTCGTCCCGAGCCCACCCTGTTGAGCCGCCGCCGCCCCGCCCCGCCTCCTGCCCACAAGCGCAGATCATCGCCACCAAGGTCTGGGGAGGCGTCATGCCGCTCTCCTTCTTCCCAGCCTACTGCGCCATCGTGCTGGTCTTTGCCGCCGCCTGCCAGAAGTTCTTCCTGGTGAGCGGCCGGGCAGGAGATGGGCCCATGGGGAGAGGTCTTGCCGCTCGGCACTTTTCCTCCCGGGTTGCCGCCAGGTGGCAGCAAGCTCGCCGGTCAGCTGTGCCTCTCCTTGCCGGCACGCGAGCTTGCGTCTGCCAGGCGGTGACTGCCCCCTGCTGCCGCGCCGACCCGCCGCTGCTGCTGCCTGCAGGAGAACAAGAAGGTGCAGGAGATTTCTGGGAGCATTAGCAAGGGAATCGCCTCCCTGGTGTGAGAGGCAGAGGCAGCGCCTACCCGCCCTGGCCCCGCACCACTCGTCGATACAAAGAATGCAGCCACGCGAGAGCAGCAAGAGTGGCGCTGGGGGCTGCAGGGCAGCCGTGAGGTACCGCAGCCTGCCGTCACTGCCGTGCCGGGAGCCGGCGCAGCCCGGATGCGCCCACACACACACTGGTGTCGCCGCCTTACGTAGAGAGAACAGAACTGCAAACTCCTTTCCTCCACGTGCCCGTTCGCCGCACATGCGCAGCTTCACACTCTTTGCACGTAAATACACGCTCTCCCACCGCATGCCCTGTTGACAGATGACCTGGCGGTCCCGAGCCCTGCCAAGCCGTGAAATCGTGCCCCGCCTGCCTCTTCCAAACTGAACCGCCGTTGCAATGATACACCAGCACTGCAAGCACTTGTGTAAGCAAGCCACCTTGAAGGATGGCAACCCTGGCGAGAAAAGCTAGAAATGGATGTAAGCTACAGTGGCTGCAAAGGATCAGGGAGGAAAACATAGGATTGAAAATGCAGACAGACAGCAAGGCTGGGCGAGCTAGCTAGAAGGAATGTACAACCGCCGTGTCGGCCTGCTACGGTGGCAGCCCAGCAGGAGGGAGGCGAGCAGGCACGCCTGGCCCGCCCTTTTCTGGTGCGCTCAACAAGCAGCCGCTGCCTCATCACGCGGTGCCCTGGCTGCCCGCCTCTGGCTGCTTCCCCTCCAGCAGCATCCCAATCATGTCCAGGGCAGCCGCAGGCACGCGGGTGCCAGGCCCGTAGAAGGCAGCCACCCCTGCCTCCCGCAGGAGCTCCTGGTCCTGCAGGCGCCCGTGGGCCAAGCAGCGGGCACGGGGCGGATGAGCCGGGCAGAACGCGGGTCGCTGGCTGGCAGGACCTGTATGCGTTATACGAAGGGAGGGCATGGCACGCGCCAAGCAGCCACGCCTGTCCCTGCGCTCGATGGGTTGGCTGCCGCGCGGGAGCAGTCGACGTGCACAGGCGCGCCACCGCCGCAGCCCGCTTGCCTGCTTGGGGATGATGCCGCCGCACACCACCAGCACATGCCCCATGCCCTGCGCCGCCAGCTCTCGCATCAGCTCCGGCACCAGCGTGCCGTGGCCCGCCGCCTGGCTGGACACACCCACGACGTGCACATCTGCAGGGTCGGCGGGCGCCACGTGCGCAGCAGTGTGGCAGCTTGCTTGCCCCTTGCAGGCGCCCTGGCACGGCACACGCACCGCTCACGCACAGCCAGCCGCCAACACCCCCCCGCACGAATCCCTGCCCGCTACCTGCGTCCACAGCGTGGCGCGCCACCTCATGCGGCGTCATGAACAGTGGCCCGATGTCGACATCAAACCCCAGGTCAGCCAGCCTGCAGCGCCGGGGAATGGGAGGGCCATGAGCGGCAGGAGGGCTGGGACAGGAGCAGGTCGCGCGGGTTGGACGGGCGTGGTCGGCCAGAGGCAGGCAGCCTGAACGGCAGATGCCGCGGGCGAGGACGAGCGGCCACCCCTGGAATGAGCCATTTGGCGGGTGGCTGCTGGGGCGCGGTTGCCTTGATCGCAGCGGGTGACCAGGGGTGGCCGAGATGCATGCACATGCGGGGAGGCAAGCTGCGGGGGCGCAACGCTCACCCGGTTGCCATGACCTTGGCGCCTCTGTCGTGCCCATCCTGCCCCATCTTGGCGATGAGGATGCGCGGGTGCCGCCCAACCTCCGCCTCAAACCGCGCCACCACTCGCTGTACCGCCTCCATCTCTGCCTGCGGGCGCGGCAGCAGCAGCAAGCAGCAGGGTGGCAGCGCGTGGCGGCCGGCTCGGCGGCAGCAGATCCGCGTGGTGGCAGGCAGCAGGCAGAGGCGGCAGCTGCAGAGGCCCGGCGTGCTCACCTGGGCCGAGGTGCCGAGCGCCTTGTTGTAAACACCCGTGGACATGCCGCCTGCAGGCAGGCAGGCCAGCGGTAAGCCAGGGCAGCTGAAGAAACGACTGACAAAGACTGAAGATGGTAGCTCACGCAAGCGTACATGTTGCAACACCGATTTCAAAGTGCACAGAACCCCGACAGCGAGGCGAGCATGCAGGGCGGCGAGCGCTGCGGCGTGCGCCCGAGCAAAGCGTGCTGGCGGCGCACCTCCCGCCTCGTACCGCCCCCACGCCTTCTCTAATGCCGCTGAGATGTCTCCCACCGTGGCCCTGCAGGCAGGCGGGCAGGCAGTCGGGAGAGAGCAGGGGTTCGCTGGGAGGCGGGCCAGCAGGCAGGCAGGGAGGGGGAAGGGGTCCACGCAAACACAGGCCTAAAGGCGCATGCTGCTCCCACCCGACTGCCCGAGCCTGCGTGCTCGCCAGCCAGGCAGGGCTGCTGGGCAAGGTGCCCCTCCACTATGGGCGACAAGCCGGCTGCAGGAGGGTGGCTCCCACCTGAGGCGAGCCGCCTGCACCGCAAGTTCCATCAGGTTGTGCTGCCGGTTGCCGCTGTGCGCCGCCGCCTCCAGCGCCGCCAGCGCCGCCTGCACCGCCGCCTCGTCGCGCGTTGCCCGCAGGCTCTGCTGGCGGGCAGGGAGTGGGGCGGGCAGGTGGGGCGGCAGGCTGGTGGAACGGCGCCGTGCAGGCAGAGCTCCACACTGGTTCTGTGCCGGGACTCATCCTGGCGAAGCCAGCCAGCCCTGCGTTCCCAGCCCTGCAGCCGGCCAGTCCCCCACCACCCACCCACCGCCAGCCGCTCCTGCTGCCGCTGCAGCACCATGGTGTTGTCGATGCGGCGCACATCCAGCTCCCGCGGCGCGCCGCCGTTGTCGTCGCCCTGGGCGTACTTGTTGACCCCCACAATCACCTGCAGGGCTGGGACGCGCATTGGGACAGGCGCACGAGCAAGAGGAGGACCCCCGGGGTCCAACTCAGGATGAGGGACGCCATGCCCGGCCCCCGCAAGGAGCGAGGAGCGGGCAGCGCGGCACGCGCCTGCTTGTTGCTGTCGATGTGCGCCTGCTGCCGCGCCGCGCACTCCTCTATCTTCAGCTTGGGCAGGCCTGCAGCCCAGGGCAAGCAAGCATGTCGCCCAGCAACCCACATGAACCGGCCACCAAACCAACACCACGCCAGCAATGAGCCCAACACCAACCCAACTGCCAGCACCGACCCGCCACGAATCCGGCACCAAGCCCAGCCCCAAAGCCGGCATGCGCCCACCCGCCCATCCGTCCCACTCGCTTACCAGAGATGATGGCTTCTGTCATGCCTCCCATCTGCTCCACCTCGCGGATCACCTCCTCCGCGGCCGCCTCCATCTGGGAGGTGAGCGCCTCGAGGTAGAAGGAGCCGCCCAGCGGGTCGGCCACCTGCATGGGTACCACGTGCAGTACATAGCGCGGTACATTGCACGGTACCATGCGTAGTACCTCAACGACCGGCCCCTGCGCTGCGCACGCCCTCCACGCCCCCGTGCCGCGGCCGCGTCCCCCTACGCATGCCTTTGTGATCCCGGTCTCCTCGGCCAGGATGAGCTGCGTGTTGCGGGCCAGCTTGGCGCTGAAGTCCGTGGGCAGCGCGATGGCCTGCGGCGAGGAGAAGCAGGGCGGGGCTGTTGCCGCTGCCGCGGGGTCGAACCCAAGTTGTACTTAGTGGCGTGTGGCTGCGGCAGTGCGTGTCGAGGTGGTGCGGCCCCAGGTGCAGCGCAGCCGTCCCAAGAGCAGGGGGCCGCCCCTGCCACAGCTGCCTAACCTCATCAAAGGAGTTGGTGTGCAGCGACTGCGTGCCTCCCATCACTGCCGCCATGGCCTGCACATGCAGGAGAACAGCTCTGTTAGGAACAGAACATCGCGGGCAGCGACTGCATGTGGCTCACTGCTGCGAGGCCCCGGCACGGCAGCGAGGGATGCCACCTGGACGGGCGTCCCATGCCGACGCGGCACAGTGCAACGCAGAACAGCGCCCCCCATGCCTGTGCCTCACCTCTACCGTGGTGCGAATGATGTTGTTGTACGGCTCCTGCGCTGTCAGGCTATATCCGCTGGTCTGCAGGGTAAAGCAGGCAGGCGGTCTGTGTGGGCAGGTCGTGCGCAGGAAAGCTGTGCCGGAGGTGAGGCGGGGTCAGGCTGCTGCTGCTGCTGCTGCTGCTGCTGGGGGATGGGAGGCGGCACTCTGGAGGCAGGCAACTCACAGCAGTATGGCGCAGCAGAGGCAGCGGCGCTGACCTGGCAGTGCGTGCGCAGCACGAGCGACTTCTCGTCAGAAGGGCCGAACTTCTCTTTGACAAGGCGTGCCCACAGCCGTCGCGCGGCACGCAGCTTGGCCACCTGCGCGAGCGGCATGCCACGGCGGGCACGATGGGTGGTGGGCTGAGAGAGGCCGGCGACAGGCAAAAGAGGGCGATGCCGCAGCCGCTGCCTCCCGCCTGAGTGCGGGCCCGCCAACTAGCCACCATCCACACTCGCCCACCACCCACGCAACATCAACAGAGTCACACCCACACCACCACCAACCCACCCACACGCCAGCCCTCCCCGGCGAGCAGCTGGGCGCACCTCTGAGAAGAAGTCCATGCCGATGGCGAAGAAGAAAGAAAGGCGGGGGGCCACCTGGTCCACAGTCAGCCCAGCCTGCTCCGCGCACCTGCAGGGCAGGCAGGTGTTGTGCTGCGATGGTGGGAGCGTGGGGCTGGGCCTGCCAGGGGGTGTGGCTCCCGCTACGATACATCACATCGCACACATGCATCCACCACACCCCCAACACATACACCAGCCACCCATAGGTTCATATAAATATATAAACACAAACACACTCCCATGCGGGGCCCACCGGATGTACTCCAGCCCATCTGCCAGCGTGAAGGCCAGCTCCAGCCCCGGGGTGGCGCCCGCCTCCTGCAACGCCACACACACACATAAACACACACACACACACACACACACACACACACACACACACAACACAGGCACACGTCGTGCATGGATCAAGGCTGAGGCAAGGCCTGGGCGCGGGCGCACAGGGTCCCGAGGCGAGGTGCAGCTGGGGCGGGGAGCCAGGGAGGAAGCTGCGCGGGCGGCGTGCAGACCGGTGCCAATCGCAGCCCAAGCGCCCTCCCCCCGCACCTGCATGTGGTACCCGCTGATGGAGATGGGGTGGAACTTGGGCAGGTGGCGGGAGCAGTAGGCAAAGATGTCGCCTGGCGGTGGGGCGAGGGTCAGGAGGCGGCGGGCAGCGGGTTGCGTCAGCTGGCAACCATGGAGGGGGCTTGCCTGCCCTGTCCCTGGCGGCTGGCGTCCCGCTGCCCGCCCTGCCCGCCCCGCCGGCCTCGCAGGGAGCCCCCACCTCCTTCCGGGGAGACCCCTACTCACCCACTCAGCCCCGGGGCCCGCCCCGCCACTCACCGACGATGCGCATGGATGGGTGGGGCGGGTAGATGTATGTGTTGCGAACCATAAACTCCTGCAGAGAGGCCAGGGCGAAGAGGCAGCCAAGGTGTGCCGCAAGCAGGGCACCCCGCCGCCGGCTGCTGGCGCTCCGCCCTGCTTCACCCGCCCCGGCGGCAAGCGGGGCATGCCGTCGCCCACCAGCGGCGTCGCCCACACACCCAGGCGCAGCGCGCAGTACCCCCTCTGCCTTGCCCCGGCCCTGCCAGGGCCGCTCCCTCCTCCTCGCCTTGAGTATGTCGTTCTGGATGGTGCCCTGCAGCTTGGCGGCGGCCACCCCCTGCTCCTCCGCCGCCACCACAAACATGGCCATCACCGGCAGCACCGCGCCGTTCATGGTCATGCTGACGCTCATGCGGTCCAGGGGGATCTGCAGGAGAGGAAGAAAGGAGGGGGAGGAAGAAGCAGCAGGAAGAAGGAGAGGCGATGATTAGTGCACAGGTGATGTGGCGAGGGAATGCCGGCTGGCATGCGGGGCAAGGGCCACCCACGTGGCCCAGCCTAGCGCCACCCTGCTGCGGTTCTGAAACCCCGCACCCATGCATCACATCAGGCTCACCCCCCCCTGTGCTCACCTGATCAAACAGGATCTGTGTTCGGGCACAAGGGGAGGGTCCAGGAGCGCGGGGGGGGAGGGAGGGATCAGGGAGGAGGCAGATGGGCAGGAGTCATGCGGGAGTGGGGCAGTGCACGGGCTCAACATGTGACTGGCACAGTTCGCCCCCGCACGCGACACCGCACAACGCGCGACACTGCCCCACCCCGCCCACCTTCATATCTTCCACAGAGTCCACAGCCACACCCGCCATGCCCACATCGCCCGACACACGCGGGTGGTCGCTGTCATAGCTGCAGGCAGGCGGGCAGGTGGGCGTGCAGGCAGGCAGAGCTGGCACTCAGGGAGGAGATGCGGCAGGCGCTTGGGAAGATGGTGAGGCAGCCAGGCGCCACAATGGCAAGCAGCACCGTCAGAAGCAACCCGGGTGCCAGGGCTGGTGACAGAGGCATGCAGCACCGGCGCTGGGTTGCGAACCGCTGCCGGCAGCAGGCGGCAGGTGAGCAGGGAGGCGGGCGGGCAGGGGGGGGCGCACCCGCGGTGGGTGGGAAGGTCGAAAGCAATGCTGGTCCCCTGCTGCCCCGCTGCCAGTGCTTTCTGCAGGCACGCACCATGTCGCCGCAGCGGTGGCATGTCAGAGGGGCCACCCTGAGGGGCCAGCTGCTGGGTGGCGGGACGATCTTGCGGGCAGAGCAGGCGGGTCCGTGCCGGCTAACAAAACCCGACCAACCCGCCAGCTGGCGCCAGCTGGCGCCACCTCACCCGGTAGAAAGCGTTCGACTCCTCTGCCGTGGAGAAGCCTGCATACTGGCGGATGGTCCAGGGCCGCCCCGTGTACATGCTGGCATAGGGCCCCCTGCAGGCGTGGCAGGGGCAGGCAGGGGCAGGCAAGTGGGCGTGTGGCTGGGTGGCTTGCTGTGCCGAGGTGCAGGCAAGGAATCGCAGCAGCCCGCCACTCCACCCACCGAGTGTAGGGGTACACCCCCGGGAACTCAGAGCCGTAGTCTGGCTGCCCTGCCACATCCAGCCCGCTGTACACCGGCATCAAGTGGATCTCCTGACAAGAGGAACAGGAAGGGGAGACGCACGAGTGACAGCGCTAGTGAACAGCGATGTGGCTGCGTCCCTGACAGGGCACGGCTGACCTGTCTCCACCCCCCGGCCCAGCCAGCACAGCACACAGGCTGCAGCCCGCCTCACGTCCTGGTTGGTGGAGGAAAAGGCCTGCCAGGGGTCGCGGCCCTTGGCCTCCTTGCCGGCCCGCTGCTTCCACTCCTCCAGGTTCTGCTCCGTGGCGCCGCCGGCCGCAGAGGCGTAGCCCCGCACCGCCCGCAGGCCCTGAGGTCCCAGCCGGGCCAACGCCCTAGGGATGCCCATGGGGCGCTGAAACCCAGCAGCAGGTGGGTACCCAAGGTGCCTCTGTGTTCCTGCGTGGAGCGAGGAGAATTCTGACGGTCAGGCGGCGACTGGCGTCTGGAGCAGGTGACAGCCCTCGCATGTCGGGCGGCTGATCAAGGCACGCCGGCATCCCTACACATGCACTTGTTGATTCGTGCCTTGCTGCGAGCTTGGTTGGAAACGCACCCCAAAGCTGTGCTTGAAGCAGGCCCTTGCCTGTCGCTGTGCTGGGTTGAAAGATATCAAAAGCACGCCTGCAAGGTCACGGGATCGCCGCCCGTTGGATCCAGCGTTTCGAGAGGGAGAACTAGACTGTACCTCTGGTGTGTACTGCACTTGCCCAGGCGACTGCCTACTGAGGGACGGGGCACTGCGCCGCATTGCGCCGTGCTCTCACCGACCAACCACCGCTATCCGCCGCGTGTTGCTGGCGCCTCTGGAACCTGCCGCCATGCAGCGGGTCGCCAAGGTGAGCCCAGCCACAGGCAGCCCATCGTGCACCCAGATGGTATCACCATAGCTCGATCTGATACGGCCGCTGACCGTTCAACCCGTTGAGATGCGTGATGCAGGTCGCCCGGGCCTGGCAGCAGCAGCAAACCCGTTCCTACAGCCTTCTGGACAAGCTATCCAAGACGGCCAAGGATGCAGTGAACAAGTGAGGCCAGGCAATAGGGTTGGGTTGGGGGCCGCCGTCGGCGCCGCCAGTCGCTCTGGCCAGGAGTCGACGTTCTGCCTGGTGGTTTGTTGGCGATGCCGGACAGTACTGGGTTCATGTGCCAGGACCCCGACGCTTGCCTGCTCGCTGCCCTGGGCCCGTCGCCTCCGCAGGACCAAGTCGGCGGCCGAGGACCTGCAGAAGAGCACAGGCGGCGCTGAGCGGCTGCAGCAGCTCAAGGAGCAGGCGGCGGCGGCCACATCCACGCTGGGCGAGCGGGTGCAGCAGGCAGCCAGCAGCGCGCAGCAGCTAGCAAAGGAGACCGTGGAAGAGCTGAAGAAGCAGAGTGCCACGGGTGCTAGTGGCGGCAGCGCAGCCGGCGGCGCCTCGGCTGAGCAGCAGCAGGCAGCGGGCGAGAGCGCCGGCGGCGCAGGGACAGAGGCCGGGAGCAGCAGCGCTGCCAGCGGCGCAGGGCACGCAGGGGAGCAGCAGCAGCAGCAGCAGGGCAAGCAGGCAGCGTCAGGGCCGGCGGGCGGCGCCTCGGCCGCGGCGGCGCCCGGGCTGGCGCAGCGTCTCAAGGGCTTTGCCTCGGCGGCGGCGCAGGAGATCGCGCGCGTGGTGCAGAGCGAGCAGGGCTCCAGTTCAGCGCTGCGAGGCTCCTCCGCCAAGGCCGCTGAGGTGGCAACAGCTGGCACCGACGCGCTGGCGGTGTCCAAGCAGCAGCAGAGCGCCTGGCAGCGGCAGTTTGAAGACATGGCGGGCAAGGTGGGGCCGGGCTGGGCGGCAGGCTTGTGGCGGCATGGGGCCTGCTGCGCCATCGTGCGCGACTGGGTGTGCGGCCCGCTGCCGGTGTGCAGCCGCCTGCTGGCCCTGCTCCCGCCCCTTCCCTTCCCAGCCACCACCACCACCCACCTGCCCACCCTACCTGCCTGCCTGGCCGTGCCTCTGCAGCTGGGCTCGCACCCCTTCTTTGCCCGCATGCGGGGCCTCAACCTGGGCGCCAACCCGGTGTTCTCCAAGGGCCGCGAGGCGGCGGAGAGCATCCGGGAGCGGTGGGAGACGAGCGACTCGCCGCTGGTGCACCGCATCCAGGTGGGCTGGCAGGGCAGGGTGGGCAGGGTGCGCGCGGCGGCAGAGGGGCACGCAGCAGCAGCTGCGGCGGGAGATGGCTCGGGCCGGGCCTGCGGCGCTCCTCGCCTGCCTGCCCGGATCACCCCCAGCCGCCTGCCCGCCTGGAACCTTCGGCCTCCCTGCCTCTCCACCGCCTGAGCTGCACCGTCGCACACACGCCACATGCACGCATGCACACACCGCCCCCACCTCTCCACCCCCAACCTGCCCCAACCCGCAGGACGCCGTGGACAGCCTGCAGACGGAGGGGGAGCAGGCGCGGGCGCTGCGCGAGATCCGCGCCCGCGACCCATCCTTTGACATGGTTGCATTCCTGAGGGGGCTGCGCGCCGACGTGCAGACGGTGGTCAAGGTGTGTTGCGGGCGCGAGAGAGGGCGTGGGGCAGCAGGGGGCGGGCGCGGCTCGTGGGACGGGCGGGCGATGCGCTGCCATCGCTGGCTGGCGGCGGGCGGGCTGTTTTGCTGCCGCTCGCAGTGCCGCACGTCCACCCAGCGCGCACGCACGCAGTGTTTGTTTTTTCCCACACTCCAGCAGCATCTCCCTCTCCTCGCCCCCTGCGCAGGCCTACCTTGAGTCTGATGAGGGCGTGATCCGCGAGCACTGCTCCCCAGAGATGATCGAGCGCCTCACCGGCATCATGCGGGGGCAGAAGCAGCAGGCGAGGCCGCCCGCCCAGCCCTAGGCCCGGCCAACCACCGTGCCGCTGCGTCCCATCCCGCCTGCCGCTGGCCACGTCCCCAGGGCCGCGCCACCACCGCTGCCTGCCCCTCCAACGTCATCCTGTGCTGCCCCACCGCGTCCCTGCAGGGCCTGGTGCCCGACCCCACGCTGCTGGACACAAGCGAGGTGGAGCTGGTAGACATCAAGTGGCTGGTAAGGCGCCAGCCCAGCCAGCCAGCCAGCCAGCCAGCCAGCCCGCCGGCAGCGCGGCGCAGCATCACGGCCGATGCTCCCGCGGGCCAGCCTGCAGCCGTGGGCGCCTGCGCGGTGCGTGCCGCGCTGCGCTGTGCGGCTCGACACCCGCTGCCCTGTGCCGTGCAGGAGGAGGAGCCCATCGTGGTGGTGCAGTTCACCTGCCAGCAAATCAACTGCACACGCGACTCGTTCGGCAACGTGGTGGACGGCAAGCCCGACGAAGTGCACAGGCGGGTTGCGGGTTGGTGGTGAGCGCACGCCGTGGCGTGCCGCCTGCCAGGCGCATGTGGGGTGGTGTGAGGAGGCTGGCTGGCGGGCGCGGGCCTAGCAGCTGCAGCCTGGATGGGCCACAACCGAGCGGTTCCTGCCTGCCTGGCGTGCGGTCAGCCTGGTCGCTCTGCGCCCCCTGCACACCTGCCCTTGCTGCCCGCTGCCTCGGCTGCAGGGTGTATTACTATTGGGCGCTGCAGCAGGAGAGGCAGGGCTACGTGGGCGCCGACGGCGGCTACCACCCGCCGCGGTGGCAGCTGCGAGAGATGCTCATCCGCGGCATGCACCACCTGCTCTAGGCGGGGAGCCCAATCGCGAAACGCTTCGGTGGTGCCATGCCGCACCCCTGCCTGCCTGCACATGCCACAGTTTGATGAAATCGAATGCAACAGTCACAGCAAGTCCATTGCTAGTGGTCCTTGTTTCCGAAGGTGCCGGACTAGTAGCCAGCGGCCACCCGCAGGGTGCGGCTGTGGGAGAGCGCTGGCCAAGCAGCACCTGCGGTCGGGCTGCCCTGGGGTGCAGCAGCAGCTGCAACTGCAGCTGCCGAGCGTGCCCTTCCCACAAAGCTGCACGGCTCGCTCGCCTGCTGGCGCGCCATGGAGTGGCTGCCCAAGGGATGCAACCTGCCACTGTTTGTCGCCGACACTGCCCTGGAGCAGCACAGAGCTGGTGCTGGGGGCGCAGTGGATGGCGGAGTGGGCCAGCGACCATCTGGCCTCAGGAGCTGGAACCCCGGCATGAAGAGGGGGGGGGGGCTGACTGGCGTGTGTGTGTGTGTGTTACAGAGGATTAGGCCTGACTGGCTGACTGGCTGGCCTGACTGAGACTACAGGGGTCACCCGACGGTATTAAACCGTGATTACAGAAAAATGGGCCGATCTGTGATCTGTGATGTTACAGAGGCAATGCCCATTAATGGGCTGGGGGCACACAAGCCGTGCCCACTAGCTCTGGACTGTATGAAAGCATGCAATACCGCCCGGGCGGCAAAGGGCGGGCTCAGGGAGCGGTCGGGCGCAAAGGGCGGGGAGGGAGGCCGTGTGTGTGTGTTTTACAGGGATTGGGCACATTAATGTGCTGGGGCCGAACCCGCTAACCCTGCCGGCTGTCCAGAGCGAGGAAAATCTGGCCGCCGATGGCATCCCGGGGAGGCTCCGTCTTGCAAGCGCCATGCCGGTCTGCCGGGCAGCCGTCCGCCGCCCAGATGCCGCCACGAAGGTGCCGTGAGGCAAAGTCCCAGCTAGTGTCCCGGCTGGGGTTCGAACTCGTGCCTGTGGTATCACCCACCGGCCCTCATCCGAGTGTGTGTGTGTGTGTGTTACAGGGATTGGGCACATTAATGTGCTGGGGCCGAACCCACTAACCCTGCCGGCTGTCCAGAGCGAGGAAAATCTGGCCGCCGATGGCATCCCGGGGAGGCTCCGTCTTGCAAGCGCCATGCCGGTCTGCCGGGCAGCCGTCCGCCGCCCAGATGCCGCCACGAAGGTGCCGTGAGGCAAAGTCCCAGCTAGTGTCCCGGCTGGGGTTCGAACTCGTGCCTGTGGTATCACCCACCGGCACTCATCCAGCTCCTTATTTAACGTCCCCTCATCCGAGTGTGTGTGTGTGTGTGTTTTACAGGGATTGGGCACATTAATGTGCTGGGGCCGAACCCGCTAACCCTGCCGGCTGTCCAGAGCGAGGAAAATCTGGCCGCCGATGGCATCCCGGGGAGGCTCCGTCTTGCAAGCGCCATGCCGGTCTGCCGGGCAGCCGTCCGCCGCCCAGATGCCGCCACGAAGGTGCCGTGAGGCAAAGTCCCAGCTAGTGTCCCGGCTGGGGTTCGAACTCGTGCCTGTGGTATCACCCACCGGCCCTCATCCGAGTGTGTGTGTGTGTGTGTTACAGGGATTGGGCACATTAATGTGCTGGGGCCGAACCCACTAACCCTGCCGGCTGTCCAGAGCGAGGAAAATCTGGCCGCCGATGGCATCCCGGGGAGGCTCCGTCTTGCAAGCGCCATGCCGGTCTGCCGGGCAGCCGTCCGCCGCCCAGATGCCGCCACGAAGGTGCCGTGAGGCAAAGTCCCAGCTAGTGTCCCGGCTGGGGTTCGAACTCGTGCCTGTGGTATCACCCACCGGCACTCATCCAGCTCCTTATTTAACGTCCCCTCATCCGAGTGTGTGTGTGTGTGTGTTTTACAGGGATTGGGCACATTAATGTGCTGGGGCCGAACCCGCTAACCCTGCCGGCTGTCCAGAGCGAGGAAAATCTGGCCGCCGATGGCATCCCGGGGAGGCTCCGTCTTGCAAGCGCCATGCCGGTCTGCCGGGCAGCCGTCCGCCGCCCAGATGCCGCCACGAAGGTGCCGTGAGGCAAAGTCCCAGCTAGTGTCCCGGCTGGGGTTCGAACTCGTGCCTGTGGTATCACCCACCGGCACTCATCCAGCTCCTTATTTAACGTCGCGGCCAACGACGGGGACGTGCTGGAGAAAAACAAAACGCGAACATGTTAGGCTGGAAATTCGCGGTGGTTTACCTATGAACACCCCGATCGCCGAGAGGCGATTTTCCAAGCGATCGCGTGGCCGAGTGGTCCAAGGCGCTGTGTTAAGGCCGCAGTCCGAAAGGGCGCAGGTTCGAATCCTGCCGCGATCATGCGAGTCGTTTTGGACGACGTGGCACCGTGCCCACGTGGCACCGCGCCTTGCCGTTTGGTCCCCTGGCACCATCCCACGTGGCACTACACCCACCGCTGAGTTGCAGGAGGGGCAGCCTGACCAGCAAAGGAGCCCTGGGAGGAGTGGGGCCCTGCCCGCGGCTGCTTGCAGAGCCGGCGTGAGGCTGCGCCGCCTCTGCCCTGCAGGGAACTGTGCAGCCCGTCCATTGGTCTGGTCTGGGAGCATGCAGCGCATTGTCGCAGCAGGGCACGTCGCTGCCTCGAGTGCAGGCGTGGCTGAGGCGTATACCGGTCGGCAGCAGCAAGCGTGCGCGCGGCCGGTAGCGAATGGCGGCGCCGCCGCCAGGGTTGCAGGAAGACGCGGGCTGGGGCAGCGCCAATGGCGGCGGCAGCGGCTGCTGGCTCCATGCGAGGCGAGGGCTGCCCTGGGGCGCAGCAGACCGCGGTGCCGAGCAGATGGGCGCGTGCCGAGCGGGTGGGTGCCACAAAGGCGAGAAGCGTTGGTCGGGTGCACAGCCGGTGCCGAGCATGTGGTGGGCTCTCAGCCCCCCGGTGGTGGCCACCTGCTTCGCAAGCTGGGAGTGCTGCTGGGGTGGGCGGCTGCGGCACCCGTGCACCGTGTGCCGCAACGACTTGCATTGTTTGCATTGCTATAGAGGTGGGCACCCCAGCTGCCCATGCGGGCGTGCAGCGCTGCTGCTGCTGCGCCGCAACTGTTGGCAGCCTGCCGCCACTGCTCTCCCCATCTGCCCTGCCTGTCGCTGTCGGCTGCTGCCCCACGCTGCGCACCCGTCTCTCAGCCCCATACACCCGCCTGCCCACACCGCTGATGGTCACCAACCGATTACCCTGCATGCAGGCCATTGCGCAGTGCAGCATGCCTGCGACCCGGGACTCTTGGTGGCCCCGCCCTCCGCAGTGCCCAAACGCCTGCACCCCCTGCCTGCCCGAGCTCGAGCAGCGCGCCGTGGCTGGCTGCGTCCGGCTGGCGGCGCGTGCTGCCAATGTGGGAGCCGGGTGGCGGAGGCGGCGGGGGGCAGGTCGCGGCAGCAGCACGGAATGGCTGTCTATATTCCTCTCCGTCTCAGCGTCTGGATGTAACTCACAACGCAGTAACTCAAGGATGTCCATGGCCTGATGAGCCATGATTCAATCATTGATTGCGCCTGCGCCCTGTCCAGCTGGCTTCCAAGGCGGACACCGTGTTTGCCTGTCTCGACCGAGCTAAGCCACTTTCCCTTCACATCGTCTGCATCATTCGGCATTGCGTGCTGCTGCCGGTGCGCAAGGAGCACCCGCCAGCTCCTCCTAGAGCGCCTCCAATTGCGCACTAGGTTGCCGTCCCGCCCATATTAATCACACTGTGCCCACCTGTGGGCACCCGGCAGCCCCCGACAGCCTCATACGGGCCGCCCCAGACCATATGCTTCGCTCCGAGCGAGCCCTCGCTTCCCATTTCCTTTCCGTGAGAGACAGGTGCGTGTGGGGACAGGTGCGGGTGGGGACAGCAGGCGGCGGGGGGCTGGTCACGGCAGCAGCACGGAATGGCTGTCGATATTCCACCCCGAATCAGCGTCCGGATGTAACTCAAGACGCAGTAAAAAGGATTTGTTCCAGTGAAGCTTGCACCTGCGCGCTGCCCTGCCCAGGTGGCAAAGCGCGGCGCTCTGGCCTGCTCCTGCCCTATAGAAGCTGCGTGCTCCAACACACAGGATGCTGTGAGCGAGAGGCACAGCTGGTCGGCTTGTGCCTGCTCTCGCCTCGAGGTGCTCGCCTCGTTCCAGGGGGCAACCTCCTGGCAGCAGCGGCACACGGCATTGCTCGCGCCAGGCGCAGGCGGCTGTAACAGCGCATTCAAGGACGCGAGCGTCTTCAGGTGGGGTGCTCGGTTGGCCTGCCAGATGGGCAAGGCACTGAGGCTCATTTAATGAGAGCAGACAAATCCGAGGCACACACTCAGCGCCGCCGCCCAGCGGTTGGGCACCACAACAGGGAGGTGGCGGCATGCTGCCATTTAATCGATTGTGAGAGCCAGTCGCACCATGCCAATAGGACAGCCTGCCAAATGCTCCCATGGTTGTCGATGGGAGATAGGATTGGCTCGGGTGCATGTGGCGGCCCTCGTGGCATCTCACCCACCCTCATCATCATCATCCGAGCCCGCCCATGCCGCACTGTGTCCATTGACCACGGTCAAGCTCGTGTTGCAAGTCGCTCAGCAGCAAAGGCGCCATGCAGTCGGGCCAGCTCGCCAGCAGGTGCCCCCTGGCTGCGTTGACGGTCTGTTGCTGCACATCGGGGTATAAACTGTGTCTGAAGCCTTGCGGCGGTGGCAATGCAGGTCCTCCGCCTTCGCAGGCACCCGGCCAGTGCGGGCTGCCCTCACCAGCGCGCAGCCCAGCAGCAGGAGGGCGCGGCTAGAGGTGCGCAGGAGGCAGGGGCGGCTGCCGAACCGGTGATGTGTGGTGGGGACTGGCCGCTGCGCGGCGCGCATTGGCGGCAGCGCCACCGTGTGCGCCGTCGCTGCTGCCTCAACCTTTGCCGCCGGCTGCAGGTGTATGCGGGGAAGGGCAAGCAGCGGATGCGATCCGGCGGCGGCGGCAGCCGCATGATGCAGCAGCAGCAGCAAATGGTGAGGGCGAGGTGGAGTAGGCGGGCCCTGGCGGGATCCTTGCTGTGCCGACGACCGGCGGCCCCTGCCCACTTTTCTGTACTGCTGTGCAGCCAGCAGGGCCTGCTCCTGTGCGAGCTATCACATGCATGCATGTTCCCCATGCGTCCCGCCTTGATGAACCGTGCCGCAGCTCGCGCAGCCATGCCTCCCCATCACACCGCATGGCACGCTTGTTGCAGATGCCGCCCACGCCGCCTGTGGACCCCGACAATGAGGAGTTTGTCATCTTTGTGCGCTCCAAGAAGGTGCGGGGAGCGGCAGCCTACATCTGCTGGCAGCTTTGAGAGAGGCGGAATGGCTGCGAGCGGGCTGACGTGCCTGCAACCCTTGCCGGCGGCGCTGCTTTCATGCTGGGCGATGACCGTGCCTGCGCGCTGCCCTTGCGGCCGCCCTCCCCGCCGCCCCCCCTTCCCCTTGGCATTGCAGCTGCCGCAGTGGGTGCCGCTGTCTGTTGTCAAGGGCGGCACTGCCGCCAACATGCTGGTCAAGGGCCTGGACTCGGACTGGATGAAGGACACCACCGCCAAGACGCTGGTGCAGGTGTGTGGGGGCAAGCTTGGGGTGGTGGGGGTGGGGGGGCTCTGGAGGCGCATGGGGAAGCGAGGGGAAAGCCGCGCCGGCTGTGGGGAATGTGTGGGTGCGCAGGGTCGCGGTCACCCCTGCCCTCTGCCATTCACGCTCTCTCCCGCAAGCTCCTCCGCCCTCAAACCCTCCCACCGCTGCGCCGTGCTCTCAGCCGCCCCACCCTGAAGCCCACTTCCGCACATCGTTCACAGGGCTGTGCACACCAGCAGCTCTCTCTCTCTCTCTCTCTCTCTCTCTCTCTCTCTCTCTCACGCGCGCGCGCGCGCCACCTCCCCCATTGCAGAACATTGGCAAGGCTGTGTACAAGGACAAGGAGCAGATCATCGCCTCGCTGCGCAAGGCCTACCCGCCCTTCAAGGAGACCAAGGAGTTTGAGTTCGCCTTCAAGATACGGTGAGTGGGTGGGTGGGTGGGTGGGTGGCAGTCGTTTTGGCGGTTGGTGTGGGTTGCGGGGCAGCGCCAGTGCGCGCGGCAGAGAGCTGAGCGCTGCCTGCCTGCCTGCCTGCCTGCAGCGAGAAGGCTGACCCCAAGGCGTGGTATGTGCCCAAGGGCCTCATGGACATCCCTCCGGAGGCGGAGCTGGAGAAGACGCCCGCAGAAAACGTCAAGGTGGGTTGCGTGCGTGTGTGTGTGTGTGTGTGCTGTGTGATGGCGTGGTGCGTGCACTATGGTGGGGGTGCTCTGGTGCGTGTGTGCTTGTGTGCGGTGGTGATTGTCCCTGCCGGATCCGACACTCGCTGCCTGTAGGTATATCTCCCTGACTGCTCATCGCTGCTGCTGCTGGCCCACCCTCCCGCCTGCTGCCTGCAGGACTTCTTCAGCACCGCCTTCAGCGGCTTTGGCGGCAAGAAGGAGTGAGCGCAGGCAGGCGTGGGCGACACACTGGGTTGCTGCCTGCGTGCCGCTCAGAGCCCTGTGTCGCCGCCGGCGTTTGTTACACTCCCTCTCTTAATTGGCAGAGCAACACTGAATTCATTTCCTCAATGCAACAGTACACACAACATGTAAGGCCAGAGACGTGCAGTGCTAGGGGTGGTGAGTATATTTCGCGTCCAGGCCACAGAGCGACGCAACCGTCAGGGCACCCCCTGCCCATACCCAGCTCCAGCCGCCGGCTTACACCTTGGTCAGCTCGTCGCTCTTGCTCTTGGCCAGCCCCTCGATCTGCACACAGCCAGCCACGCTCAACAGCGCTCGCTGCTGCTGCTGCTGCGCAGCCAGCCAGCCAGCCGCCACCCGGCGCTCACATGCGCAGCGGGCGGCCCAGCCACAAGGGAGCCGGCCCCAGAAAACCAACAGGAGGCCCTCCCTGCTGCCAAAGGTGGGCACCAGTCCCGCCCGCACGCCACACGCCACCCCACCCACCTCCTTCACATACTCATCCGTCAGCTTCTGCACCGCATTCTCCAGGTCCTTGCGCTGGTCCTCTGCACACACCCAGGCAGGGAGAGCAGGGTAGGGGCCGGGCAGCCACCTGACAGCGAAACAGCCTCGAGCGAGATTCTGGGATGGCGGACTGACAGCAGTTATGCCACTGAACCTGCCGCCCCACACTGATCACCGCGCCCAGCCAGCCAGCCAGCCAGCCGCGGCGCCAGCCAGCCAGCCGCGGCGCGGGGGCGCTCCCTCCCTCTGCCCCGCGCCGCCCCGCCGCGCCCCGGCGTGCGGCGCGCACCCGAGATGCCGCCATCCTTCTCCAGCTTCTCAATGGCTTTCATGGCATCCCGCCGCACATTGCGCACCGCCACCTTGCCCTCCTCCCCCAGCTTGCTCACAATCTTTACCATCTCCTTGCGCCGTTCCTGCACACAGGGCGGGGCAGGCGGCGGGGCAGGCGTGTGCACGGGAGGCGGGCAGGCAGCGGGGGAGAGGGGAGGGGAGCTACCGCTGCAGGCCACGGCCCAGGCCGGGCCCTCCCGCCGCTCACCGCCGTCAGCTGCGGCACTTGCAGGCGGATGACGCGGCCGTCGTTGTTGGGGGTGAGCCCCAGGTCGCTCTGCATGATGGCCCTCTCGATCGCAGGGATGGCGGAGGTGTCGTATGGCTGCAACCGAGGGGCAGGGACGCGTCAGAGGGAGCGGCGGTGCGGACACGGAGCACGTGGGCATGCAAACTAAGCGGGGCACGCGGGCCAGCCACAGCTCTCTAGAAACAGGCGCTTGCGCAGATCGAGTAGCTGGAAGAAGCGGGGCCCCAGGCAGCGGAGGGCGGCACGTGCGCACGGCAGCTGCCAGCAGGGCGCGCGCCTGGATGACCAGCAGCGTGGACTCGGGTGTGCTGACGCTGGCCACCGTGCGCAGCGGGGTCATGGCTCCATAGTAGTCGAACTGCGGGCACAGGCACAGGCGGGAGGGGCGGCAGAGGCAGGTGGGCCGCGGTAGGCGCCTTGGGACGCGTGCCATGGTCGCACGCGCAGCAGGAGCAGCAGCTGGCCGCAGCGGCAGCCACATGCATGCGTCCCCTCGACCAGGCACGCACGCCAGTCCCGCAGGAGCCGGCTGCTGTAGCAGGGGCGGAGCAGGTGCAGTACACACTGCCAGGCTGTGCCAGGCTGTGCCAGCTGCTCTGCCGCAGCTCGCCTCGATCCGATCCAGCATGGCGGCATTGGCCCGCCCGGTGCGGACGGTGCCAAAGCTGCGCTTCACACTCTCCACCGACTTCTCCATCTTCTCCATCTGGTGGAAGAAAGCGGGGGAGGCGAGCAGAGCAGAAGGGCAGGCGTGTCACGGGCAGGGCAGGGGTCAGTGTCAGGGGTGCGGCGAGCGGCGCTGTGAGCCTACCACCGCTGCTGCCATCCCTCATCAATGTGAAAAGCAACAGTCAAACGTCAGGAAGCATGGCCAGGTGGCAGCAGCAGGCCGCACCGTGTCCTCCTCCACAGTTATCTCCACATCGGCCGATGCCGCCACCGCCAGCGCAGCCCGCCGCGCCGGCAGCCTGCAGGCAGGGCACCGGGCCCCGCGTGTAGCTTGCCAGTGTGTACCCCGCGCGCAATGCGCTTGACTTGTAGCTCTTGACTTGTAGCTACAAGCCTCCCCAGCCCGCACCTTTGGCACCGCCCCGCTGCAGGCAGCCGGCGCGCGGGTCGGAAGGCGAGGCTGCTGGCGCATCGCACGCACTGACGTGAGGCCGCTGGCTGGGAGGTCCGAGCGAGGCAAGGCTGGGTCAGAGCTGCAAGAGCCGACATGCTGCTGTTTGCTGGAGAACGGCCAATCAAGAGTTAGAAACACGAGACAAATGAAGCAGCAGCAGAAGAAGAAATGACTGATGATGTCTGTGATCTGGGATGTCGGGTGGCGGCGCGCCACACACCGCACCCGCCTCTTCTCGTTACCGCACGAATACACACACTTTACGCTGCCCCTACTCGCCTCACCACACTCCTCAAGCAGCCCATTCATATGAAACTTGCAAAGAAGTTCTTCTGTACGTTGCCATGACGAGTGCGGCAGCAGGTTTCACCCACACCGCTGCGCTTGGGCAACCACTGTGCTGCAGCTGTTGGGCCGCCAGCTGCTGCTTTGGGTGCACTGTTGTGAAGGAGGACTATGGAAAGGGCCCACCTCGCAAGGGCAGTTTCCTTTGAATTTTGCCTCGCTGGCCTGCGGATGCACCGGCAGAGGATTGCATCAGCTGACGCCATGGTTGCCCTGTCGCCTTTCCCACCTGCCTTGCCAGCGATCCAATACAGTGCTTCGGTTGCTAGCAACTGCGCACTACCTCTCTGGTTGCTGCTCAGGTACTGCGCCAGTGCACGGATGCCGCCTGCTGCGACGAGGCTGCGCTGGTGGTGGGGGCCGAGAGGTGAACCACCACCCTTCCGTCATTGCTGGCGGCTGCGAGGTCGGTCAACGCCATGGCTGCCTCTGATGCCCTGCGCCAGCTACACTTCTGCAAGCGCCTCGCCAACGGGCCGAAATCGCTGGCTGCTGCCATATGGAGGAGGAGATCAACCCTGAGGGTCTGCTGCACCGCTTCAGACGCGGGCGGGCAGGTGGGTGGGAGGTGGGCAGGCGCAGGAGGAGATGCCTTTACTGTGCACGGGAGGCGCGGCCCTGCACAAGAATTGGTGCTCTTCGAGCCCCTTTCAGCACTTGCCTGTTCAGAACGCTGAGCAGCCGAGAGAGACACAAGCAGAAACTGCAGCCTCACCTCCGGAGCCACGAAGAATGTGAGGGAGCGCCTGATCCGCGAATAGAGGCAGACAGGCCGGCAGGCGAGCACACGCTAGGGTTTCTGGCTTGCTGCGCTGGCGCGCTGTCAGCACTGTGTTCGCCACATGGTTTGGCTGCCTCTGGCAAAGCTTTGGCCTCCCGCGCCTATCTTAACATGCAACACGCTAGCCACATTCCTGCTGTGGTGGTTAGCAGGCCTCCTCACGGTGAGACCGCCTCATCGCGGAGCTGCTGCGTGCCGCCGAGGCGCTGGAGAGCTTGTGGTGACGAGCGCCGGCGTCCGATCAATGCTGCGCCCCACTGTGCGCTGCACGCTGCTCTCCCTCCTGCAGGTCCCGCCCACCACCCACCCCGGTAGTCCTGGGTGCGAGCCTATGTCAATCTGGAGGGTGGCAGCGTGTCAGGATCAACTCCACCTTACATTACTCAACTTAAACGGCATTCAGCAATGTCCATGTGCAGCTGCAGCACCTGGAGAGCAGCGGCAGCTTCAGGGCGGCGCACCGCTGGCGCCAGCTCAGCTGCGGCCCTTGCACGAGCTCCCAGTGTCACCCGAGGGCAGCTAATTTAGCGGCAATCATCATTCTGTATCTGGGAAGTCAATGAGCAGCAGAAAAATCCCGGAAATTGAGGCGCAAGCAGCCAGGGCGCTATGATACGGCGCCGACACGCCTCCTACCGCGCCGCCGGGCTGGAAATTCGCGGTAGTTCACCTATGATCACCCCGATCGCCGAGAGGCGATTTTCCAAGCGATCGCGTGGCCGAGTGGTCCAAGGCGCTGTGTTAAGGCCGCAGTCCGAAAGGGCGCAGGTTCGAATCCTGCCGCGATCATGCGAGTCGTTTTGGACGACGTGGCACCGTGCCCACGTGGCACCGCGCCTTGCCGTTTGGTCCCCTGGCACCATCCCACGTGGCACTACACCCACCGCTGAGTTGCAGGAGGGGCAGCCTGACCAGCAAAGGAGCCCTGGGAGGAGTGGGGCCCTGCCCGCGGCTGCTTGCAGAGCCGGCGTGAGGCTGCGCCGCCTCTGCCCTGCAGGGAACTGTGCAGCCCGTCCATTGGTCTGGTCTGGGAGCATGCAGCGCATTGTCGCAGCAGGGCACGTCGCTGCCTCGAGTGCAGGCGTGGCTGAGGCGTATACCGGTCGGCAGCAGCAAGCGTGCGCGCGGCCGGTAGCGAATGGCGGCGCCGCCGCCAGGGTTGCAGGAAGACGCGGGCTGGGGCAGCGCCAATGGCGGCGGCAGCGGCTGCTGGCTCCATGCGAGGCGAGGGCTGCCCTGGGGCGCAGCAGACCGCGGTGCCGAGCAGATGGGCGCGTGCCGAGCGGGTGGGTGCCACAAAGGCGAGAAGCGTTGGTCGGGTGCACAGCCGGTGCCGAGCATGTGGTGGGCTCTCAGCCCCCCGGTGGTGGCCACCTGCTTCGCAAGCTGGGAGTGCTGCTGGGGTGGGCGGCTGCGGCACCCGTGCACCGTGTGCCGCAACGACTTGCATTGTTTGCATTGCTATAGAGGTGGGCACCCCAGCTGCCCATGCAGGCGTGCAGCGCTGCTGCTGCTGCGCCGCAACTGTTGGCAGCCTGCCGCCACTGCTCTCCCCATCTGCCCTGCCTGTCGCTGTCGGCTGCTGCCCCACGCTGCGCACCCGTCTCTCAGCCCCATACACCCGCCTGCCCACACCGCTGATGGTCACCAACCGATTACCCTGCATGCAGGCCATTGCGCAGTGCAGCATGCCTGCGACCCGGGACTCTTGGTGGCCCCGCCCTCCGCAGTGCCCAGACGCCTGCACCCCCTGCCTGCCCGAGCTCGAGCAGCGCGCCGTGGCTGGCTGCGTCCGGCTGGCGGCGCGTGCTGCCAATGTGGGAGCCGGGTGGCGGAGGCGGCGGGGGGCAGCAGGGGGCGGGGGGCTGGTCGCGGCAGCAGCACGGAATGGCTGTCTATATTCCTCTCCGTCTCAGCGTCTGGATGTAACTCACAACGCAGTAACTCAAGGATGTCCATGGCCTGATGAGCCATGATTCAATCATTGATTGCGCCTGCGCCCTGTCCAGCTGGCTTCCAAGGCGGACACCGTGTTCGCCTGTCTCGACCGAGCTAAGCCACTTTCCCTTCACATCGTCTGCATCATTCGGCATTGCGTGCTGCTGCCGGTGCGCAAGGAGCACCCGCCAGCTCCTCCTAGAGCGCCTCCAATTGCGCACTAGGTTGCCGTCCCGCCCATATTAATCACACTGTGCCCACCTGTGGGCACCCGGCAGCCCCCGACAGCCTCATACGGGCCGCCCCAGACCATATGCTTCGCTCCGAGCGAGCCCTCGCTTCCCATTTCCTTTCCGTGAGAGACAGGTGTGTGTGTGCGAGCTGCGACTGCGCCGTAATGCGTAAGAGGCTGCTGGCCCAACTGGCCGACCTGGCTGGGCCGCCTGCCCGCCTTCCGGCGCGCTGCTAGGAGGTCAGCACAGTTGCTGGCAGGCAGCATGCCGGGGCTGGCCGCCGCCTGCCCTGCAGCTGCCCTTGCTGCTGCGTCATGAGTGCTCGACTGCCGCGGGCTGGCTGGCGCCGCGCCTCCGTGCCCACACCTCCTCAGGTTCTCTCGGTCCCCGCCCTTGTGCAGGCCCGACGCGCCCCCTGGCCAGGCTGTGGATTTCAGCGGCGGCGAGAGCGAGAGCGGGAGGCCAGAGAGCGAGAGCGAGAGCGAGACCAGCGACGACAGCTCCTCCGCTGGGTGACCCCGGCTGCCGTCTGCTGCCCGCGGGTGTGGGGTGATGCGGCAGCTGCGGCAGCCTGTGGCTTCCTGCTTCTGCATCTGCGTCGGCGGTTGCTGGCTCGTGCACACTCCTGCCCCTCACCGCCTCCGGGCCCTGCCACACTGCGCCTGCCTGCACCTGCCTGCAGCGTATAAGCCGCGGCCACCGGATGGCTCGAGCGCACCGCAGAGCGGTGGGGACCCCGACTTTGATGCACACTGAGAGGTGTGCTGGATTGCCTTGCCTGGCTGCCAAATGTGGGTTGCAGCTCCTTAGGGTCACCACGCTTGCCGCTTGTCTGCTGTTGCTTCCTGGTGCGCATTTCTGCGCTCTTACTCACGTTGTCAGCCCGTTTGTGTGCCAGTGTGTGCCGCCAGGGCATGGCATAAGCCGCATCGCCAGCTGTCCTCATCCCGCTGCCTTGTTTGCTCTGTTGCAGGGCCGTCCCACGGCGGCTGCCGGCAAATTCTTGATGGGGCTGCGAAAAGACTGGCCAGAATAAACCACCGGTGGGTTGCATGCCGGGCCAGTGGCTTGCTTGGCAGCAGGGGGCAGGCGGGTGGGGTTGGGTGCGTCGTGAGGCAGCGCTTGTGGCTTGCACCTCGTGCTGCTCCTCCTCCTGCCGCCCCTGCTCCGGTGGCGGGGTGGAGGGCGCCGCCGCCCTCCACCCGCATGTCGGGCTCACATGG